CAGGAACAGTGATTGGGGTTCATTTGGTTTAACTAGTTACATAGGAAAACTATGATATATTACAAGGGAATTAAACACACAACGATTCGATGACTTATGGGCCCAAATCAAGAATTATTATCAACGAACTGTAAAATTAGTTATTAGAGTCTGATTCTTCTAATATAGTTAAACGGTTTTTTTTTTTTAATTTTTTTTTTTATAGTTTTGATTTTAAACTCGACCTCTGATTTCTCTAGTTTCAGTTCTTGTAGATGTGTCTGGTTTCTCTAGTTTCAGTTCTTGTAGATGTGTCTGATTTCTCTAGTTTCAGTTCTTGTAGATGTGTCTGGTTTCTCTAGTTTCAGTTCTTGTAGATGTGTCTGATTTCTCTAGCTTCAGTTCTTGTAGATGTGTCTGGTTTCTCTAGTTTCTGTTCTTGTAGATGTGACTGATTTCTCTAGTTTCAGTTCTAGAAGATGTGTCTGGTTTTGGAATATTTCTAATTGTGTATGCTTATTCATTTTTCTCATCTAGAGCCTATTGTCCATGTTTCTCATCTAGACAGCCTATTGTCCATGTTTCTCACCTAGACAGCATATTGTCCATGTTTCTCATCTAGAAAGCCTATTGTCCATGTTTATCATCTAGACAGCTTATTGTCCATGTTTCTCATCTAGACAGCTTATTGTCCATGTTACTCATCTAGACAGCCTATTGTCCATGTTTATCATCTAGACAGCTTTTTGTCCATGTTACTCATCTAGACAGCCTATTGTCCATGTTTATCATCTAGACAGCCTATTGTCCATGTTTATCATCTAGACAGCCTATTGTCCATGTTTATCATCTAGACAGCTTATTGTCCATGTTTATCATCTAGACAGCCCATTGTCCATGTTTATCATCTAGACAGCTTATTGTCCATGTTTATCATCTAGACAGCTTATTGTCCATGTTACTCATCTAGACAGCATATTGTCCATGTTTATCATCTAGATAGCCTATTGTCCATGTTTATCATCTAGACAGCCTATTGTCCATGTTTCTCAGCCAGACTACCTATTGCCAAACTGATTATTATTCAGCCATCTTTGATTGTGCCTCAGGTGTTATGCCTGTTCCGAGAAAGGTGTACTGAGTCACCTGTCTCAGAATATGGTCCAGTTTCCAGGGTTTTGCCATTGTGTGATGTCTGACTTCATGGGGACGAGCCGAATACAACAAGAGGGGTCGTTTTAATATTACAAACTGAATTAATGAGCAACATGCCCTGTGGCGCTTGCAATGGCAGAATAGGGAAAAATATTTTGTCAATATTTGTGGCGTGTCTGCTGCAATTGTCTGCTGGCCGTGGGAGCAGTGACGCCCCTGGAACACTAAGGTCTATATTATCATCCACCCGGAGTCACTCGACCACGTCGGCAACAATGGCAATCATCTGCCCTAATCTGCACCATCTGGTTGGAGTCACGTGATCAATGATTGACGGGCTGTTGAAGTTCATCAGGGTGCAGGGTGCCCATTTGGAGGGATAGCAACGGTAAATTTGATGCCCAAGAGCAGGCCAGAATCAGTAGAGCATCCGTCACAAAAGGACAACTGTGGGATGGTGAAGGAGAGGGTTTAAAACTTACAGAGTTGTAGCTGTAATGTCTGAACATCGGCATCCGATATACGAGACAGTCCATAAGATCACTCTTAAACTTGCTTTGAAGTCTTTTGACATGGCAGGAAGTTGCACACGACCACACTGAATGGTGTACAGTCGTCAAGTATGGCGCATCGGCCTGTCAGACAGCAGAGATTGCACTGGCAGAGGAGACACACAGTCAGTCTAGAAAGAACAGTGTGTCAGCACTGCTCAAGAACTGTCCATAGTTAATTGACAAGTCACCTTTTTACACACTATGTTTGATCATTGTCCAGTTTTGGGTGCGAAGTGGTCCTCATAGTTTGTGATGGTCAAGCCACAACAGTCCCACTGGATAGTCAGAGAACATGCCAGTGGAAGCAAATTCGGGGGGGGGGGGGGAAGAAGGAAAAGAAGATGCAAAGTAAAAACAATAAGTAATAGCATCATGAGAAGTGTGAAGATTTAATAGTTTATTGGTAGGTCCCAGCCCTCTCCGCCTTCTCCTGAACCCCAGCCCTCTCCGCCTTCTCCTGTACCCCAGCCCTCTCCGCCTTCTCCTGAACCCCAGCCCTCTCCGCCTTCTCCTGTACCCCAGTCCTCTCCCCCTTCTCCTGGACCCCAGCACTCTCCACCTTCTCCTGAACCCCAGCCCTCTCCGCCTTCTCCTGTACCCCAGCCCTCTCCTCTTCTCCTGTACCCCAGCACTCTCCCCCTTTTCCTGTACCCCAGCCCTCTCCGCCTTCTCCTGAACCCCAGCCCTCTCCGCCTTCTCCTGTACCCCAGCCCTCTCCCCCTTCTCCTGGACCCCAGCCCTCTCCGCCTTCCTCTGTACCCCAGCACTCTGCCCCTTCTCCTAGACCCCAGCACTCTCCCCCTTCTCCTGGATCCCAGCACTCTCCACCTTCTCCTGTACCCCAGCACTCTCCCCCTTCTCCTGTACCCCAGCCCTCTCCACCTTCTCCTCTACCCCAGTCCTCTCCCCCTTCTCCTGAACCCCAGCACTCTCCCCCTTCTCCTGTACCCCAGCACTCTCCACCTTCTCCTGTACCCCAGCACTCTCCCCCTTCTCCTGGACCCCAGCACTCTCCACCTTCTCCTGTACCCCACCCCTCTCCCCCTTCCCCTGTACCCCAGCCCTCTCCGCCGTCTCCTGGACCCCAGCACTCTCCCCCTTCTCCTGTACCTCAGCACTCTCCCCCTTCTCCTGTACCCCAGCACTCTCCCCCTTCTCCTGTCCCCCAGCCCTGTCCCCCTTCTCCTGTACCCCAGCACTCTCCCCCTTCTCCTGTACCCCAGCACTCTCCCCCTTCTCCTGTACCCCAGCACTCTTCCCCTTCTCCTGTACCCTAGCCCTCTCCCCTTCTCCTGTACCCCAGCACTCTCCCCCTTCTCCTGTACCCCAGCACTCTCCCCCTTCTCCTGTACCCCAGCCCTCTCCCCTTCTCCTGTACCCCAGCACTCTCCCCCTTCTCCTGTACCCCAGCCCTCTCCACCTTCTCCTGTACCCCAGCCCTCTCCCTCTTCTCATGTACCCCAGCCCTCTCCCCATTCTCCTGTACCCCAGCCCTCTTCTTCCTTCTCCTGGACCCCAGCCCTCTCCGCCTTTCCCTGTACCCCACCCCTCTTCCCCCTTCCCCTGTACCAATTAATTACACTAAGAGCCGTCTTTACAATAAAGGTTGGCCATACTGCACACGTTTTAGTCAGGTCATAGCCTCTTCCGCGGTGAGATTCCCATGCCACTGTCCGAAAGCTGTGTGAACTTAATGTGTTGTTTTAATCCAATGTAGAAACCAAACCTCAGTACACAAGGATCATGAAATTGTGAGATGCGATCACCCATCTCTCTCAGCAACAGAGCCGTAATATTAGTCATTTGCACAAGGAATAATTCGTGACTTATAGTAGCAGCGGCAAAAGAACAAGAAGAGGAGGATGAGGGGGAAGAAAAAGAAGAAGAAGAAGAAAAAGGAGGAGGAGGAGGTGGAGAAGTAGAAGAAGAAGAAGACGAAGAAGAAGAAGAAGAAGAAGAAGAAGAAGAAGAAGAAGAAGAAGAAGAAGAAGAAGAAGAAGAAGAAGAAGAAGAAGAAGAAGAAGAAGAAGAAGAAGAAGAAGAAGAAGAAGAAGAAGAAGAAGAAGAAGAAGAAGAAGAAGAAGAAGAAGAAGAAGAAGAAGAAAAAGAAGAAGAGGAAGAAGAAAAAGTAGAAGAAGAAGAAGAAGAAGAAGACAGAGAGAGAGAGAGAGAGAGAGAGAGAGAGAGAGAGAGAGTAAGCATGACAGAGAGCGAGAGAAAACGAGAGAAAGAGAGTGAGCATGACAGACAGCGAGAGAAAACGAGAGAAAGAGAGTGAGCATGACAGAGAGCTAGAGAAAGAGAGAGAGTAAGCATGAGAGAGAGAGTAAGCATAAGAGAGAGAGAGAGAGAGAGAGAGAGAGAGAGAGAGAGAGATGAGAAAGAGAGAGAGAAAACTGCTGCCTTTGCAAGGGAAGTAAGAATATATGTGAAACATAAGTTGAAAATGTGATATACTGTTTGGTATGGAATGTGATGTTGTTCATTATCTGACTTCAACACAAAAGTGTATGTCTGTATCATTGACCCATTCTTGTTGTTGCAGGCACCCACTGACACCCACAACTGTTTTGACTGGCAGTGCGGTCGATGACCTCGGATCAAGAGACAATCAACGATCATTGATTGACTTGGCACACATAAACAGAAATCGGTTTTATGAGGAAAATGACGAGAAAGAACAATGTCCTCAACAGAAATGGCACTAGTTGCTGCAGACCTGGAAACAACCAAGGAGTAACTGAAATTAATCGAATGCCTCACATCGACTGGTCCGGTCTAGTTTTCAGGTTCCAATTGTTCGGTTTAAAAAAAGTTCATTCTGTGATGATACAGTTGGTTTTTTGCGCCGCTTATTTCTAAGATTTCAGGTTAAGATTGGGGAAAGTCGCAAGTACGAGTAAGTTGATGAGGATTAGGTGTAATCTTCTTCGTATGAGTGTGAGCCCAACAGCACAATTCAAAGGTGAATCATTCATTTAATTTTCTTATCGATAATCAATGTCTACCTCCGTGTTTCAAACTCGCTTTAACTTTTGGAGCAGTGTCTGCAATAACAAAAATGATATGTCTTCCAGCCATGGGTGTCTGAATGTTGATGGTGCTAACACAATTGCTTAACAATTGACACTGATGTAGTTGCGAAAATGTGCACTGACATGAGAGATCCACTTGCATACCAGGAACAATGGAAAGATGTAAGCTCACCATTATGGACCTAACACTAGGAATGTCCCTGCTGCCCAGCTGGACGAGCAACCTTCTAGGCACTAGTAATGTGTCATAACTGATGTGACATTCACGGAAACCAACATGAGATCATGGACAGAGCATTCACCTAATTCATCCACTAACACGTCATTGTCTAGAAACACTACATCTGCAGGAAACTTAGGCGCCATTGAAGCCGAGAATCTCTTGGTGGCCAACGATGAGCCAGACCCCGCTTCGTCCACGCTAGAGGACTTCAGACTGCAGAACTATTTGGCAGAGACACTACAATCATTACTTTACAATCTTTCTACGTCGTTTCTGGAGTTTCAGTCATCCCTGTCAAATAATTCTTCGATATCCTTCCGAGATTACTTCCATGCCACATTTCCACTGGCAAATATCACATACCCAACTTATCACGACTCGAACCTCACATCAACAGTTCCTAGTCTATCCGTTCACAACTTGACTAACGTCAACTTCTATGGAGACGAAGACGATAGGATAAGTGCTTGGGGAAACTACAGTAGGAATATCACGTCGAACTTTACAGATGGTCTAGGAGCAGAGAAATCAGCCGCAGAAATTGTGGTTATCTCTATCGTGGTTAGTTTACTGTCGGTTTTGACTGCCGGTGGAAATTTGTTGGTAATTGTGGCTTTTAAGCTGGACAAAAACCTGCAGACTGTCAGTAATTATTTCCTGTTGAGTCTAGCAGTTGCTGATCTAACTATCGGAATCATATCCATGCCTTTGTACACCGTTTACTTACTGATGGGCTACTGGCCCCTGAAGGCGCTGATGTGTGACGTCTGGTTGTCGCTGGACTACACCATGAGCAACGCCTCAGTAGCCAATCTGATCATCATCAGTTTCGACAGATACCTGAGCGTCACCAGGCCGCTAACCTACCGCGCCAAGAGAACGCCAAGAAGAGCAGGAACCATGATAGGCTGTGCATGGATTATCTCCTCTGTTATATGGACCCCTTGGATATTTGCCTGGCCTTACATCGAGGGACAGCGGAACGTTCCAGAAACGGATTGCTACATCCAGTTTCTGAAAACTAATCAGTATATCACAATTATTACAGCAATGTTCGCGTTCTTTATACCGGTTATAATTATGTCCGTTCTATACTTCCAAATCTACAGGGAAACGCAGAAACGTCAAAAAGACCTGCCTAAGTTACAGGGGATGCATAAATCTAAGCGGGTTAAAGACCCGCGGCAGAGATACCACCACTCCAGCAACAAGTCTGTAACGTCCAGTGAGGACGAGGCTTACTCCAGTACCAGTGAGCGGGGCGTCCACGCAGTGGTAAGTCCCGACGAGCTGGAGTCGGCAGAACCGGCGTCATTCAAAAGTAAGATTTTGAGTTGTCTGAAAATTGACCGAGACTCGGATTACATGGAAGATTCTAGTACAAGTGATCCGCCATGTTCTCTTCCAAATTCACATGTTCATTCCGACTGTAACGTTCACACTCTGTACGGAGCAGGGACCAACGGGGACAAGTATCTACCTCGTCAGGGCTCGCAGAGCTCTGCCAACAGCCTACACTGCCAACCATCGAAACCTCAGACGGTCAGAATGAACTTTAGCACCTCACTGATCCCTCTGTTACCGGTGGACTCACCAAGTCCCACGTCGCCCATGTCTGGATCTAGAGACTTGGGTTTCTATACCACGGTTTCGACCCCCGAGCAACATCTACCATCACTGTACGAGGGACCGTTCCCTCGACATTCAGGTCTTCTAACCACCTCGTTCACTGACCCAGTCGCAGAGACAATCAAAGAGGATCCCCGTTCAGATTCGGAGGAGTCATTAAATGAAGATAAGGACAAACATAAAAGTGACAGCGACGATGAAGAAGAAGATGACGAAAGTGCAATGTTCAGGGTTCTGATTTTACTTCCGGGGCACACCGGAGATTTGAACCCGAAACCTACCATTAAGATTGAACCTGACGAAGATTTGGACAGGTTTAGCGAACTCAACCCCGGACTGGTACAGAGGGATGACAGTGACACGGATGATGAAGATGATGCTTCTTCCAGACGTCTTCCAGAGCGTCAAACTCTGCCGCCGCCCGTACGTCCTCCCACAGGAACACCTGCTCTGGCCAGGAGAGCACACAGTAGCGATTCCAACAAAGTGGCTCTACAGGCCAAAATTGTGGCCAGAGCTGCCACAAAGGCCCGCAAGGCTAAACAGCAGACATCAAAAACGCAGTCAATACGATTGGAAAGGCGGCAGGACCAGAAGGCGGCAAAGACATTAACTGCGATTTTATTGGCCTTTATAGTCACGTGGACTCCGTACAACATCTTCACAGTTGTGGAAGTGTTTTGTGAGGGCTGTGTTAACAAAACACTATATTCTATAGGTGAGTACATTTTTTAACAATAGACTAATGTATTTAACCAGGATATTTTAACTGAAAATCGTTGAGTGACAATGGGATGCGGATTATATTTGAGATATTAGACCAGATTTAGAACATGTTTTTGAAGCGCAAACAGTTTCTTCTGGTAGGTGTCAGCAAGTCGCGGTGCAAGTGATTTCCCCCGTCGAAACACGAGGGCATCTGTGCCATAAAGCGTCTTGTCCAGCCATCACCGGTTTTAAATTGACTCCCAGCAATTTCCACGATGTCGACTCATTGGCGCCCTTCAAATAGTAACACTACCACAGAAAATCCATCTGCCCTTATTTTCTTGACATATTCCAGCAGATCGGTTTCTACTTCTGGGTATTTCATCTTTTTGCCATAAAAAGATTGTCAACATTTTTCAAGAGCATCTTTCATTCCAGTCCATCTTCACACATTTTTCTCACATCCATCAAACGCCCTCCCAGCTGCTTGGTTTATATTTCCATAACTGACTACTTGCAGCTGACATTTTACAACTGTAGCTGGTTCTTGGTGGTATCAAAGAAACGAATTATTCCTAAGTGTGTAATAAAAGTTGATGGTGTTATTTTAGGACAAGTACAGAAATTTAAGTATCTGGGCACATGGATAACCTCAGATGGAAGATGCATAACTGAGATAAGAAACAGAATAGGACAGGCAAAAACTGCATTTTATCAAATGAAAAACATCTTGTGCCATATATCCTTGTCATTGAGAGTTAGAAAAAGAATTCTTGCTTGCTACATACATCCAGTTTTAACATATGGCTGTGAATCCTGGGCAATCGGTAGGCAGGCCAAACAATTTCTGGAGGCCTCAGAGATGTGGTTTTACAGAAGAATACTTAGAATACCTTGGACAGCCAAAAAGAGCAACCAAGAGGTTTTGAAAGAGGCGGGAGCCCGAAGACAAGTTATCACAGACATCAGAAGGAGACAGTCATCATTTTTCGGTCATGTTATGAGAAGAGGGAAAATAGAACATGTTGTGACCACTGAAAAGATATGTGGAAGGAGAGATAGAGGAAGACAACGAGTGGAAGATGCTTGACAGTCTTGTTGCATGTCATGAAGGTGTGTCGGCACACGAACTGATACATACTGCAGGAGATCGCAGATTATGGAGAGGCATGATCGCCCACGCCAGTCGGCAAGGCACATGATGATGATAATGATGATGATGATGATGATGATGATGATGATGATGATGATGATGATGATGATGATGATGATGATGATGATGATGAACTGGTTCTTACCCGGGGAAATCTCTCACTGTTTACGGGTACTACTGTTTCGGTTGTGCCTTGCTGACGACATTCTACAACAGTTAGTGTTTCCCCCAAAGTTGTTGTCTCATAAACTGGGTGTTGCATATACGCGCTTAAATGCGTTATATTCTATCGGTGCGTAAATGTCTGAACAATATATTATATTCTATAAGTGCGTAAATTTGTTTACAATATGCTATATTGTATAAGTGCGTAAATATGTTAACAGTATACTATATTCAACAAGAGCGCAAATTTGTTCTTCATCTCCTTCTTTTGCCTTTCTATCCCACAATGGAGCATAGGCCCTCAACCAACTCACGCCAAGTCGTTCTATCCTTCGCCATTGCATGTCCTCCCCATCTTTCTAACTTCATTCTCCAGCTCTCTTCTCCATATGTTTGTTGACCTTCCTTTTTTCCTATGCCCCTGTGGGTTCCAATGCAAAGACATTCTAGTTATGCTGTTATCTTGTTTTCTCAGCGTGTGTCCTATCCAACGCCAGCGTCTTTTTTGCTTTACTACTTCCATTGTTCTCCCTATATCATAGTGAGTTCTAACATTCCAGGTGCCAATTCTGGAGGATTTCCTAGCTGAGAGGAGGTACGTCAACGGCCCGGACTCCTTACGGCTTTCTCCACACCGTGTCATACTTCTTCTATTTGAAGAGCCTTCCCTCATCTTGGATGGCTAGATTTTACTTGCTTCTCTTTTTGACTTATCCATGGTTGGTTGGTTTTTGGTGGCTATGGTTTTTACAGGATGTGGTAGCCAACCTCAAGCCCAACCCTACCCTTAGTCGCCTCATACGACATGCCTGGTAGGGTGCAGGGTCACAATTCTTTGCTTCCCGTGAGGAAAAGATTTGTTAACACTAAATTATTCTGACAGTGTGTAAAGTTGTTAACGATATACTATATTCCATAAGTGGGTACATATGTTAACAGTACATTCTATAGCTAAGTAATTTTGTTTAAAAGAAAGCACTGTTTTTTGTAGGTGAGTAAATCTGGTAATAAAACACTATATTTAATATGTGTATACATTTGTTTACAGTCGACTATATTATAAGGCTGGATATCTTTGTTAACAGGGTAACTTGTCATTGTGCTGTGTCGTCATGGACTGACATTATACTGTGCTGTCAATGGCTGACATCTTACTCTGCTGTCATAAGCTGACATTTTACTTTGTTGTCATTATCTGATATTATGCTGTGCTGTCATAGGTAGCATTGTGCTGTGCTGTCATAGGCTGTCATTGTGCTGTGCTGTCATAGGCTGGCATTGTGCTGTGCTGTCATAGGCTGGCATTGTGCTGTGCTGTCATAGGCTGGCATTGTGCTGTGCTGTCATAGGCTGGCATTGTGCTGTGGTTTTATATGCTGTCAAAAGCTGACTTTGTACTGTGCTGTCATTAGTTGACATTGGGCTGTGCTGTCATGGGCTGTCATGTGCTGGTTACATGGTAACATGAATACATTTGAATGCAATGTTTCAGTCGCTTCCTTTATTTTAAAACACAGTGTTGGCACCATTTACCTAATAAACAGTAAGGCGTGGAAGTGAGTAATTCACTCCTTTGTTCTTTAGCCTCCCCCTGCCATTTGTCCGCTATAATGAAACTTTAATGCGTTCTCACTGCCAGAAATTAAACCACATTGATTTCTCTTGGAAGGTAAACAAGCATCCAAGCAACAGAACATCTTGGAGGTTCCAGGGACACACCAGCAACTGGATCTTCGGTTATTGACTTAAGGGACAAATTAGGCAAACACCTACAGTTACTTGTCGTCGAGCCAGATCATTGATTTGCAAACAGCAAACAAGTCCGGCCAACAACGGGCGATTCCGCTGTCGTAGTTTGCTAGCACAAGGTTTCTGCAGCCCAAGTTTCCATTTCCGAATTGGGGATATTTGATCTTTTGCCGTGAAAGAGGAAGGGCGTTGCGGAAGTTCTGTATCTCGAGCAGCCCACGGCCTCTCTTGTCGAATCGCCTTCGAAATGGGGATTATTTGTTAAATTAAATAGATTCTCGGGTGACTTGGCCTCAAATATATACCAGGAAGTGTTCAGGGAAGTGAAGTATTCGCTAGGAAATCCACCCTATCATTCACATAGTGACGATAAGACTGGAACTAATAGGGAACTAGCACAAACACATACACATTGTGACGATAAGACTGGAACTAATAGGGAACTAGCACAACACATACACACACATTGTGACGATAAGACTGGAACTAATAGGGAACTAGCACAACAGACATACACATTGTGACGATAAGACTGGAACTAATAGGGAACTAGCACAACACACATACACACACATTGTGACGATGAGACTGGAACTAATAGGGAACTAGCACAACACACATACACATTGCGACGATGAGACTGGAACTAATAGGGAACTAGCACAACACACATACAAATTGTGACGATGAGACTGGAACTAATAGGGAACTAGCACAACAGACATACACATTGTGACGATGAGACTGGAACTAATAGGGAACTAGCACAACACACATACACATTGTGACGATGAGACTGGAACTAATAGGGAACTAGCACAACACACATACACATTGTGACGATGAGACTGGAACTAATAGGGAACTAGCACAACAGACATACACATTGTGACGATGAGACTGGAACTAATAGGGAACTAGTACAACACACATACACACTGTGACAATGAGACTGGAACTAATAGTGAAGTAGTACAACACACACACACACAGTTGTGACAATAAGACTGGAACTAATAGGGAACTAGCACAACACACACACACATTGTGACAATGAGACTGGAACTAATAGGGAACTAGCACAACACACACACATTGTGATAATGAGACTGGAACTAATAGGGAACTAAACAACATACATACACATTGTGACAATGAGACTGGAACTAATAAGGAACTAGCCAACACACACACACACAATGGATCTCTGTGGTCAAGTGGTCAGGTTGTCAAGGAGTCGAGTGGTCAAATGCATAAGCTGTATGCCGCGCCCTCTGAAAAGTGTGGGTGTGTTTCACGGCTGCATTGTTCGGTTTACTAATGGCGATTAGTTTTGAATGTGGCTGGAGCTACGGTGTTTGTACATTGTGTGATGCTCTCGGCATAAACACATTATATTATGTTTAATAGTTTCCTCTACTTAGCATGTTTTCAATGTGTATGTTATTTCTATTATTATTATGCACCTAACCATGGTTTAGGTCCCTTTTAGTACCCGACCCCTAGGCCCCCCTCCCCAATTGTTTTCTTAGCGTTGACACATTCGCTGGCACCCTTGTCACGTGGCCATACCAACCTGTCCTGTCCAGTCTCTCTCTCTCTCTCTCTCTCTCTCTCTCTCTCTCTCTCTCTCTCTCTGACAAGGCGTACAGACATTCCTGACAACATCCAACACAAGGAGCAACAGAAAACCTCACCAACAAAATCTCATTACTCATTGACAAAAATTGGTAGCTCGGTTTACACCATTGCTCCCTCTGTTTGTTTCCTGTACAAGGGGAATCCCCACAGATCTGAGATCACTTTCCGCTCTTGTCCGTCGTGTGTCCAAGTTCATTTCCGCCTTAACAGACTTATTTTTATATTCAATTTTAGACTTTCTTTTCAAACTGATGTGAGAATTTGTAATTTATTTCTTCGGTCTGTCGTGATCTGTGTGTTGC